ATCTCCCCAAAACCCCAAAACCCCAAAACCCCGAGTCATCTTGCCTATTTGAATATAATTATATATTAATTAAATCCATTAATCATTTCTGTAAAAAGAGACTTTTTGTTCTCTAATAATTTCTCTGGAGATCCAAACTCAGCGATTTCTCCGAAATTCATGACTACAATCTTGTCGCTCTTCATGATAGTGTTTAGTCTGTGAGCGACTGTGATCACAGTGGAGTCTTTGAACTTTTGCTTCATCAGCTTCTGCACTGTCTCTTCAGTGTTTACATCAATGCTTGCAGTTGCCTCGTCCATTATCACAATTTTGTTTTTTCTAAGGATGGCTCTTCAGATACACACAAGTGCTTTCTCACCAGCACTCAGGTTTGTCCCTTTCTCAGCCACACTGAAATTGAGTCCTTCTCCAGTTCTGCTTAGAAGAGATTGAAGACCTGCTTCATGCAACAGAGTTTGTATTTCAGAGTCTAAATGCTTGCTCTTAGGGTCAAGGTTGAATCTGAGGGTGTTCTTAAATATTACCGGTTCTTGTGGAATAATGGTGATTTTGTCTCTGAGGTCCTTCAAGCCTACTTTAGAAATATTAATTCCATCGATTTCGATAGATCCCTCAGATGATTCTATAATTCTACAGAGTACTAAACAGAGAGTGCTTTTACCAGCTCCAGTTCTACCGACAATTCCAATTTTCTGAGATGGTTCGATTTGAAGGTTAATGTTTTTCAACACAACTGGTGTGTCAGGTCTGTAGCGAACAGAGAACTGTTTAAAATTGATTCTACCTTTGCTGATCCAAGATTGGTTATTTTTGTTAAAAGCTTTATTTGAGAGCGGAAGCTGTTGAGCAGCTTCTTGAGGGATTTCCGTGAACTTCTGACACTTGTAAAAAGATACAAGTCTATCATGAATCCAAGAGGCATGATAAAAGATTTCTTCTACATCCCATTGAAGTTCAAAAATATAATACATAATAATTCCTGTAATTACTGTGTCTCCAGAGTCTCTGTTCAAAATGCAATAGATAGACTGGAAAACAATGAATACCATAGCTACAGCATTTAATCGCATATTCATCCATCAGTTTAACCCCGTTGATAGAATTTCTACAGCATATTGTCTGTCTTCAAGGTAAAATCTTTTATTTTCAAATTCCTTTACTCTGTTAAATACTCTAATAGTAGAAATGCCATCGATAGATTCTCCAAAATGAGAGCTTATTGATGAAGCTGTAGCAATTCTGAGCTTCCCTACTTGAACACTTCCATTTATAAATCCTCTCATGAGGGTGATGTAAATAGCTATTGAGAAGGGGAAAACTACAATTCAGATAGGAGCATTTGTTGCAATGAAAGTAAAGGTTATCCCGATAAATATCAATCATCTTCAAATCTGTTTAATAGTGTCAGGTAACTCTCTACTTGCATAATTCAGGTCAGATGAAAACCTTTTGTTGATAATTCCTCAAGGTGTTTTATCAAAGAATAAGTTAATTGGAGCATTTAACATTCTTGAGAGCATTGTGTCAAACAGATTCTTGCCAATAATGTAGTTCTGATAAACTTCAACAATCCACCCAGATAAGTCAACAAATAAAACTACAAATGCAACATAGAACACTGTGTACAGAATCTCAGAGTCAGCAGTCTGTGTCACTGAGAATTCTTCCACCCACTTCAGCATCAAGTAGTCTGCCTTGATGGTCCAGAGCCTCACAAATGTGAGGATTCCGACCCCGATCAGGATGAAGAACAGCCCACTTTTAAGATACGTGAAGTACTGCAAGTAGATTGATGGAGACAAGTCAATGTCTTTGTCATCATCTCTTTCAAGCAATATTTTCTCTTTGATACTCAGATAATTCTTCTTTTTGTGTTCGACTTCATCAGAGTCTTCATCTTCACTTGAGTTTTGTTCTTCGTCTTTCTTGTCCTGAGCCTCCATTGTCTGCATGATTTTCCTGAAATAGCTGTGCTCCATCAGCTGTTGGTAACTCCCATTGAGCTTGACTCTGCCTTGCTCCATGACGATGACTCTGTCAACTCTGTCCAAGAAGTCGACTGCATGAGTCACAATAACTCGAGTGCGGTCTCGGAGTTCTCTGCAAAACACTTCATCGAAGATAAGCTTCTTGACATGGGAATCCAGCGCTGATAGCGGATCATCCATCAACACTATGTCTCTGTTGGCATATAATGCTCGAGCAATGCTGAGTCTGGCTTTCTGGCCACCACTGAGTGTGATGCCTTTCTCTCCTACATGTGTGAGGTCTCCAGCTTCGAAGACTTCAAGGTCTTTTCCTAGCTGAGCTGCTTCTACCACTCGGTTGTACCTGGCTTCATCAAGAAGACGGCCAAACAAAATGTTTTGTCTGATGGTTTGGCTGAGAACGAAGGGTTTTTGCTCAACCAAACTTACAGAGCCGTCCACTCGAATTCTGGGTCGAACATTCTTGACATGTTGGTTTCTGAAATCCATGACATCTTCTTTCCTCACAAAAGTATTGCTGTTGCTTGTTGAATGCCCATTATCTTCGTGTGCATCACTGATCTGTGTGTGGCCATATTTCATGAGAGTTTGGTCGTCAACATAAAGAGTTTCTTTGAGAAGAGTTTTAATGAGAGAAGATTTGCCAGAACCTACATCTCCAATGATAGCTACAAATTCGTTTTTCTTAATGTCAAGTTCAATATCTTTTAAAGTGATTGCTTTATTTATCGTAAATTTTTTGTTTAATTTCTTTGTTTTAATGTTATCTTTAATTTCATTTAAATGCGAATTTCTTTTTCATATATTCCCATTTTTATAATTTTCTTCTCTAAGAATTTTCTTATCTCACTTGAATCCATTTTCTATATTAGGATTCTTTACATTTATATGATCAGTATGTTCTTTATTAGAAACAATATTTTGAAATCCCCAGAAGAAATTAGATTTCTCAATTTCAATAGCATTTTCAGATTCATGTAAGTCTGTTTCTTCTATCATTTGAGTTTCTATTTCTCGGCTTTTCAAAAAATCAGTCAACCTCTCTATTGCTACATAAGATTCGCTAAACTTTTGAGCAAGAGTTGGGATCAGACCTATATGCCACTTTAGTTTTTCTAATAGTCTCCATATTGCCATTGAAGCTGGAACTGTCAGTTTCATTCCGAACCCTAAGATACAAGTTCAGAAAATGCTCAGGATCATTAGATAGTAGCATGAGTATTGAGAAATATGAGCCGGCATTTGCAGTAATTTGCTATAGAAATCATTATAGTGTTCCTTCTTCCTCAATTTGCTTAGTTTCTCCTCAAAGCAGTGGGTCCATGAGTTCATTTTGAGGACTTTGATGTTGTCGATAATTTCACTGAGTACTGTCGCTCTATCATCATCGTCTTTTCTCTTCCGTTTCTCGAGCTCTCTCATAAAAGTGTTGGTGTAATAGACAACAAAAATTCCTGCTGCCATTATGCCAAGAGGAATCCAGATTATATGCCCGATGAAAAGATAAAGAGAGGAGAATGTTGAGATTATGAGTAAAGGGATTGAAGTAATATGAGGAATCTCAAGAAATATACCAGAAATCCTCTGACAATCATCACCAATTAAGTTTTGAAGCTGTCCCTTCTGATATTTACCTAAAAATCTTTAATTTAAAAAGGAGGAGGTAGAATTCGTTTCGAATAAAGGATAATGGTTACCTTCAGGAATTTTGAACATTTTTGAAAATGCTAACCCAGAGATGGCTGCTCCTATCCGATGGCCGAATTTTAACTGTTGAACGTTTTGCATCATATGGAACCCTCGAGCAGTAAATTCGAATGTGGCTAGAGTTATAGCTCATAAAAGTGTCCAATTGAGGTAATCATTTTCTCCATTAATGTATGATAGTATCTGCGTTTGGAAGTAAAAGTTTGTAATTTCAAAGGCTATACATCCTCATGATGCAATCAGTCAAACGAGGAATCTGAATTTATAAATCTTGAAAATAACTCTGAGGAGAGAATAGTGGTCAATTTCTTTTTCATTTTCCCATTCTTTATTTGAACCTCTGGTAATGCACTTCAGTTGAATCTTCTATCGGTATTTTTCCTAATTGGTCGATTGTAATTCCTGATTCGCTAGCCATCTAGATAGTATGAAATATGTTTTAAAAACTAAAATAACTCAGAATTTTGGTGCTCGATTTGCCAACACAAAGTAAGCTTCAAGTATCTTACCTGAACAGATTGGTTCATCCAAGTGTAAGTCCAATATTGGTACCACTTTTTGTTATGGTACTCCTTTAATACCTCTCATTGCTTCTTTCCTATTTTTCCCATCTTCCCTGATAAATCCTATACCCAAAAGCTCACTCCACCCCCTAAAATCTACCCAACATTCCTTTTCCCACCCAAAACACTAAGATACCGTAGAAATATCCATTTTCGTTCTTTTTTATTTTTATTATTTATGATCAATAAGTTTTTTGAAGCACGGGGTTTTGGGGTTTTGGGGTTTTGGGG